GACTTTGGGGAGTGTATCATCTGTATAGGCTACTCTCCATGATGAATCACGCATTAGTTTTTGGTTATTTTTTCCCTTTCTTTTAGATTTGAGTGACTGTCAGGCCACTATTGCAACTGTAGTTTCTGAGTAACTGACCTGTTTACCCTATATCTCTGGCTATTTTTAAATTGTCAAGATCTGGAAAAAAGCCCCATTTGTTCCACTGATGGCCTACTAAGAGGTACATTTAATATCTTCTAGATTAATCTATAGATGCTATGTAGGTCCCTAGATTTAATATTAAAAGAATTAATTTTTTCTTATAAATTCAAACTCAGAAAATTGCACACTTGTCTAAAAACATCAATATAAATATAAAAGCCAAATTAATGTTTTATATAATGATTAAAAACATCAGTGGAGATGACCAAAAGAAAAAGCCTGAAAATGGAATAAATGTTGATTTGATTGCTACTTCTTCGTTGACAATATTTCTAGTGATATCTTTATAATTGGTGCCTTTACCTCCAATAACCAGGTCAGCTTCTTAAACCAGCACAGCAATATTCAATTTCTCAAATAAAATCATTATTCTGAAATCACCAGTATCTAGTCTGTTTGAATAGCACTGCAAACCAGATTCTTAAAGAAGATTTTTTAAGCAAAAACAAGTATACCGATCTTTTCTGACACAAAGGAGCTTGTCAGTATAGAATAGAAATAAAAATGCCAAAGAAATAAAATAGCAAAAATATAAAATGCCCAACTGAGCTCTGAAACCCTATGATTCTTCAGAACACAACTGGAAAACTTAGGACAATTTCTTGCTTTCTGTATAAGGATGTATTCAATGGTTTTCAGTGTTTTTCAGGGTCCATCAATTGTTCCTGGTATACAAACAGCTTTTCTAGGGGACCAAGTTGGTCTTACAGAAAGATAACAACAATAGTTAAAGCATTAAAATACCTTTTTAAAGTAAAGTTTGTACCAAGACAGTGAGTATCTTATTGTCTATCTCCAATAGACTGAAAATTCCATGAGGGCAGAGATGTGTCTATTTTGCTCTCCACTTGAATATTCAGTACTGAACCCAATGCCCAGCACAGAGTAAGTCTTTTAGACACCTCTGTTGCATGCTGTGAATGAATGTTGTCAGCTGTGTCAGAAGAAGTAAGTTATATGGAGCACTAAAGATTTGTGAGTAAATCGAATTTCTTCTCAAAAACCCAGAATTAGACATGACTTACCAGAATATTTCACAGTACAGATAGAAATGAGACATGCAATTGCAAAAAGCAAAAATTCTGTAAATGGAATTTGTAAACATTTAGTGCTCAGAGGTCACTGTGTGGAAAAGATTTCGCCAGTGTCACTAAGATCATGCCAATATTTACCGGGCCATGTCAAAGTCCAGTGCACCGTCTTTGTCACCACATGGCACATTAAAGAATAGCATAGGTCATTTACAATTCATTCAAGATATAATTTAAGTATATGAATCAAAGAAAGCTCAACAGGAGTAAAAAAATGTATTATGCAGTACTGCACAGAATGAGTAATCATTTTGTAATAATCACACTGTAACTGAAACTTGGTATTTGTTTTGCTTTTTTTTTTGAAGATAAGAAAATGATTAACATATTGCCTAGCCTTATATGCTGTATATGTTCTCTTTGGGTAAATGAATAAATGAAAATTTTAAAATCAGAAATATGTCTTGAGTAGACCACCTGAAAAATACATGGTGCAAAGCTGCAGGTCTGTTTTGTAGGAGTAGTTTGACCCTTTCATATTTAATTCTGAATTTTCTCAGCACCTCCCTTCTGGGCTTCCTCCTTGCTTCTGTCACGCCTAAGTTAATAGTGAAGTAAAAATGGCTTCAGAACAATTTTAAGTCTTATATCATCAATCTAGGTTTTTATTTTTCTCTAATAAATCTGCATTCTAGCTAAAGCACTACATAACCTGTGGATTCTAATATACTTCCATGCAAACACAAGTGGTTGATTTCATTAAAGCTACTTAATGAGGCGTGATCTGTGGTGGTCATTTACACCATGTTCACATGTACTCACACATTCTTGTGATGTGCTGAACAAAAACTACTTTTTTGCTGAAGTGAGAAATCTAAGCCTGAAAGGCTAGAAACTAATTATTTCTCAAAATATTCATCAGGTTGCCCCCATTTGAATATAGGCTCTCATTTGAATATTACTGAGAAGTCATGATAAAAAATATTACCAAAAATTATCACTGCAGTTTTACAGGGAGATTTTATTAAACAAAGTTAGTTCTTATGCATTCAAAAGAGAAAGACATTCTTATTAGAGCTATTTTTTTGTAAACATAGTAAGCTTTGGGGTGGGGGAGTTTCTGTATTATTTCTTACTATTTCTAGAAGGGATTGTTTTATAATCTCTTGGAAGTGATTTTAAAGATTAAGAGGATAAAATCTTACACTAAAGTTAGGAATCTTTCATCTATATGGTTATTTAAGCTCCATTCGAATTTTTTCAGTGACAAAACAAAATCACTTCTCCAAGAAGCTGTGTATCATCTCAGTTAGTAGTTAGTCATGGCTACAGTAAAGTTCTCCCATCGAACCAAAATTTCCTGCCAGCCATTTTTCCTTAGAGCCACATAGAACAATTCTGTAGATACCCTAAGGTTACAGCTCTTCGTTCTGGGAGGACACCTCTGCCTGAAATCCTTCCCCTCTCTATCCTACTCTCTAGTCCCTGGGAATACTGTTAATGATTAATGGAAATATTCTGCCCTTATGTTGACCTTTTGAAACTGACAATATCTAACCTTGTAAACGGGTCAATAAATTCCAGGAAGTGTACCCGATTCAATGGTTCTCAAATATAACAGAGGTTTGCTGCAAGTGGCTCTCTGTACTCCACTGACTACTAACTTTATCAGCCCTACTGTGTTTGTCCTAGTTTCCAAGATAATGTGAGATTTGATCATATGGGCTCTTCCGTGTGGTTTTGATGGTATCTGAGTTGGGCCCTTATTACAAAGTGCTGCCAAAGAACACTTTTGTCCTTAATTCTGACACTTATCTCAGTGCTATACTGTGAGTCATCCACCCGAAATACACAAGGTGCAACAGCTTCCCCTCACCAGTACATCCAACAAATCCTACAGAGAATCTTTTTAAAAAGAAAAAAAAAAACAAACAAAAACTCTCTAGCCTGTATCCAACCACCATCTTTCACTCCAAACCACAAAAGAAAACTTTCTACCCTCATTTACATAAAGACTCTTTCCCACAGAACTGTAACTGTTTGGGAGGCAAGGACATTTTGGGTGTTAGAAGGCATGACAGTAATCGCCATCACCTGAAATGGATTTCCTAATGTTTAAAGCCAGGAAGAAAGTCACTTAAAGTTAAAACCACTTGTCTCACAACAAATACGGAGCCATTTATGTACTTTTTACATTTTTTTGAAAGATAGAGCATCACAAAGCGTTAGAAAATTTCCTAGACTCATTTGCATAAATGACACATCAAGGAAGAAGAACACTGTCTACCTTCCATGAGTCTGCCCCACTGTGTCTGTAATAGAAATGTTGAACAAGTGAGTCTCAGGAACAAGGGAAAACTCATCTCCTCCTGAACAGACTAGCTCCCCACAGTGTCTTAAATGGACTGAAGAGTAGGTTCCATGATATTTTTTGTTCACTCTAAATAAAAGGTCCTCTGGTCCTTTTGAACCTCAAAATAACCACCTCGTATCAGCCATGATAATATCTGCTTAAGTTTAAGAGTCAAATTTCATATGTTCATGAAACTACCCTCTAATATCAGGCCTGTGTCAGTCCTGTTGCCTGTGGTGTGAAAGAAAGACATGTATACTTTTTCTCTGCCTGCTCTCCTTTTTTCCTTCCGCCCACTCTCTAGGCTGCTTTTGGTTCCTCAAACACAGGAAAGGGAGAAGACAGAAGTAAGCAGCAGGAAAAATTAATCCACTGGGTGCTTAGTGAGCTAGTGTTGTTTCCCCCGGCCATGGGAGATGTTCAATGTTGACATTTTCTTTGTAGCTTCTTTGGAGATCTCTTTATCATCTCCGGGGATCTCTCACATCAGGCTGGCATCTTAAAGCTTTCCTCTGGCCCTCTGGTTTTCAAATTGCCTGCCTCTGCACAGAGAGGTGTCCCACTGTTGGTGGCCCACTGCCCTGTAGGTGGTCCTTTCTTGGGAGTGGGGGCGGGTGTGGTGCATTTAAGACAACTCCAGGTTGGCCTGATCTCCTGCTTGATCTACAGCGGGTCCACAAGCTGCACCGCAGCGTCCCACTCGCAGCCCTCTCCTTTGTTGCCCCAGGCCACCGAGTCAGCCCTGGCCCCTTTAGTGTGAACCACACACCTGTTCATTGCACCCTAAACTCCAAGGGTCATCTATCAAGATCTCTAAGTGTTTCCTTGAAGCCCCTTTCACTACATTTGAACCTTTTCCAAAAAAAGTATTTTGCCTAATTTTCAGTTTTTCCTCAGTTGAATTCCTGGTTTTCCCTTATAGAGTCAAAGTGGGTAATACAGCCCCTCTCACACTCTAAGGCCCTGCGTCAGTGGGGTTAGTTCTTCACGTGGGGATGTGGATTTACTCTCCATTTACTTTTTATTCTTGTTTCTTTCAAGACCTTATGTGAAACCAAGGTAAAGAAGGGAGAGACAAAATGTCCCATTTTAGCATTATTATAAAGATAGGACCTAAAAGAATGATTGCCATATCAATAGGTTCTGACTCACTAGTTGTTGGCACAGATCATTAACTTAATTGCTTTCAGTGTTCACTTTTTTCCCCATTTCCATTAAAATTCATAGCATGTCGAAAAATTCTGATCCATTTTTATAAAACAGCTAGAAAGGTACCAAAAACTGGATTGCTTATAGAAAATGCTAGTTTCACCCCAGATAGGTCATGTGAATGACCCTTTTGTACACATGCATTTAATGCAACATTCATGAAAAGGGAATAAATACAAAACTTTCTATTTTTTGGTCTCTAGGTCGGGATTATGAAAAGGATAAAGTGTGCAAGGAGCTCACCAGTCTCGGAAAAGATGACTTCACATCTTTGTAAGTATAAGATAGTCATCACCCTCTTGGTTACTTGACCTTGAATGAAATTGCATGTAAGGTAACTTCAGTTCACCATTAAAGGTCTGAACTGGTTTCTGCTAAAATTAACAAGATAGAGCCCATTGTCAGTGTAGGCAGAGAAGCCAGACTAACGGAGGACAGCCAAAGATTCCAGCTGAACTATCGTTACTATGGTCTAAGAATTTGTCACTGCTATGTTTATCAATGAGTTAGAAGAGAATAAATAAGCATGGTTTTCTACGGCAAATTAACATGCAAATAGTGCATGCCAGGACTGGGCAACAAAAGCAACAAGGTACAGAACAGGTTCATCTGGGGAGACTCGAGGGAAAAAACCTGGTGGCTGGTGTAACGGAACCCTCCAGTCCAACTTCTATTGCTTTACAAGATCAATTTACTCAGAACGAAAATTAAACAGTAACCTCAGATTCTTTTTATTAGTCAAAATATGTACACTATTCTTTTAAAAAGCTGAACAGATTTTATATGTTAATATGTGCAAATGTGGAAAAATTCTAATTAATACACTGACTTTATTTTTCCCTTCAGAGCAATGGTCCAGTACAGCAGAAAATTTCCCAGTGGAACCTTTGAACAGATCAGTCTTCTCGTGAAGGAAGTTGTGTCCCTGACAGAAGCCTGCTGTGCCGAAGGGGCCGCCCCTGACTGCTATGACGAAAGGGTGGGTCCTCGTGGCCTGGCCGGGTGCAGAGGGGCCCGCTGAAGGAAGCCGAGATAGGCCTTTATGCCATATCTTAGGGAGATCCTAGACAGCAATTCCACACACTCCGTTTTGGGGGATATATAAAGAATATTACCCTAAAATCCAGACTTTTTTCTAGCATAATGAATCAACTTTGCCCATTAGTCCTGCAGGTTCAAATGAGAAAACTGGGCCATATACTGACTCAGGGAATAATTCTAATCTATTCTGTTTATCTTAAAATTCTACAGATACCTTTATCATGCCAAACCTGGTATTGACTGACCCGGAGCAATTTCGTGTTAGTCTCAAATTAATTTGGTGTTCAGAAGTTGTCCTATATACATAAAACTACCAGGCTTTGGGTTTTTCTCCCCTGAAGTATATAATTTCAGCAGAAATTAAAATGCTGAAATGACAGGGTTCAAAACACAGACAGTAGCTAAAAAGAAGGTGAAACCACACCTGATTCTAGCGGTTTACTAATGCAGCCCTCAGGCCCGCTGCAAATGGCACTGAGATGCTTCTGGACAAAGCCTCTGCAGACAAATGTCTCCCTGTTCAAGGCTGCAGCCGCTGGCCTGCAGAAACAGTGCTCCAAAGATCCCATTAGACTATAATTTGTACAATGATTATTTTTACATTAATTGCTTTATCTGGCCCTTATCTGCTTTTTAAGAATTTTATAATCTTTTTCTCCAATCACCAAATCCATTTAAAAAATGCATCATTTCAACCTGACCTTCTGAAGCACCTTAAAATAAACAAGCATCACATTACCAACCATGATTAGAAAAACAGAACATATTTTTATTTTCTATATTTGCTAACCCATGTCTTTTTAAAAAAGATTTTATTGATTTTTAGAGAGAAGGAAGGGAGGGAGAAAGAGGGAGGGAGAGAAACATCGATGTGCCAGAGGAACATCAATCAGTTGCCCCTCACACACTCCTAACTGTGTCAACACACCTGCCACCCAGGAATGTGTTCTGTGCCCTGATGGGGAATCAAACTGGTGACCTTTTGGTTTGCTGGACAATGCCCAGCCCACTGAGCCACACCAGTCATGGCTGCTAACCCATGTCTTGATTAGAGAGAAGCTGCAGTTTTGTAGAGACAGATCAGAAGAGAACAGAGCTGGAATTGACATTTTGTGCTCACTACTTTCCTCTTTCTCCTGCTTATTCAAAGCATTTTTTAAATGTGTTCATGCTTTTTCTTTGTAAACTTCTTATTTGAAAGGAGGTGATAAAAAACAGTAAAGTTTATAGGGAAAGAAATAGAATGAAAGAGGAGATTCACTGGAAAGAGGCAGAAGAATAAAACAGAGTTCCTAAGAATTCCTAAATTCTGAGAGTCTGATGGAAGGTACATGTGGGAGAGGATGAGAGATGTAAACACGTAAAATGAGAATTTCAAAGTCCTTTTTCCCATGTAAATCCCAAAATAATTTTTGCCATGATGACTATTTCTATTCTACATTTTTTTAACTTTTTAAAAAATTATTGTTCAAGCACGGTTGTCTTCATTTTCCTCCATCACTCCCACCCACCCCAGCCATCCCCACCACATTTTCATTCCCAGTTCTTTCCAAAGTAAACATGTTGTTGCTACAATTGCTTCAGTGGTCCTCTTAACCATGGGTTTAGTCTGCCCCCTGTATCAGTGTATCAGTGTTGAGGCAGCAGATGACGTTGTACCAGCGGTTTTCAGCCCATGCTACACATGAGAATAAGCGCAGGGGAAGGAACAGATCCTAAGGCCTCATCTTTGACCTACTGTTTCAGAATTTGTGTTGTGCAGCCCAGGTATTTGTTGTTTTCATATATTCTATGAGAGCTTTTAATGCAAATGTGGGCTCAGGAAACACTGGTTAAGAGAATGCAAACTAATACAGAAGACTAAAGCTGTTAACAGTTAAGAGTCTGCTCTGGTAATAAAGAAGGGGGGGGAGGGTCCACATTCTCTTTGGGCTATTTGCAGCAGAAAGCAGGTGGGCAATCGTATTGGAGCTTTTTGAAATGACCTCCCTTATCCTCAGAAGATGTTAATATCCCTGTGCAGAAACACTGGACTAGAGGATAAAGCTTTTAATGGCTGCAATCAAACACAGTCCATTTATTAACAAAGGTTCTATTGTTTTCTTACTCCGAGGAAATTCATTTAGTAACATCGGTAAGACCCTGTACCTGCCCATTACTATGATTATGCAACTTGCCACATTGACAAATCATGTCATGGATACTTGGGCATGGACAGTTTGTTATAATGAGAATTTTTAAATTTAAGACTAAAGATGTTACACTGAATGAAGAACTATAAGCCTGGAAAGTTGTGTGTATGTCTGTATATTTGTATATACATAAATGCTTGCTTTTACATTACTTATACATTACTTATACATTACTTGCTTTTCTTCTCTTTCTAGACGTCAGCACTGTCTGCTAAGTCCTGTGAGAGCGACTCTCCATTCCCGGTGCACACAGGAACCGCGGAGTGCTGCACCAAGGAGGGTCTCGAGAGGAAGCTCTGCATGGCCGCCCTAAAGCACCAGCCACAAGAATTTCCTACCTACGTGGAGCCAAGTAATGATGAAATCTGTGAGGCATTCAGGAAAGATCCCAAGGAATTTGCTGACCAGTAAGTTGCTTTCATCAGAAGTAGAACTTTAAAGCATAAAATACCAGGAATGTATCTAATCTAACCACCTACTCTAGACAAACACCTCTTCTACAGCAGCCTGGACAACTTCCAATAAGGAGAACTTGACGTCCATCCAAGAGAGCCCACCTCTGTCACTGTAGACTATGGTAAATGCCTTTTTCAGACAGAGATAAAAGTCATCTTTCCCAAACCCCCACCCAATCCACCCTATCTGGTATTTGAAGCAGAATTACGTGGATCCCGTGCCCTCCTGACAGACGTTCAAATATTTGACTGCAGCTATTGAGATGTCCCTTAAGCCAGTGATCTTTGATCTTTTGATCTCCACCTGATCAAACTTTATTGCTAGACACATTGTTAATACTTCATTTCCATGAAAGCACAGGAACTAACAGCTTTTCTCTTCACATTCCAAGGAAGTGTTGTGAATATGACACCCGGGGCATTACATATGTGAACATACTACATTCATAAAGAAGCCAGACTGTGTAGAGATTCTTTAAATTCGTCTTGGAAGATCATAAAAATAACCAAATATGGGGAAAATCAATTTTGATGAAAAACATATATACAAAAATCAAAAACAATGGTGTTCAAATGGGCTTTAAAAGAATAAAATCAAGGTCACAGTTTTGTAAAAATTGGTTGGCTGGCCCATCCCTATAAATTTTCACAGAGGATTTTGCCCCAAATTTTCTTTTAGAGTCTCTTTTAGGTTCATGGAGGCTTATGCTCCTAAAAATTAAAAAGATTTTAATAAATAACTAAGCCTACACATAGTAATTGTCCAAAATAGTAAACAGAGATAGATAATAAAAAGCAAACTCATAATTACATTCATTCATCTTAATTAATTAAATCAACATCAATAAGCACTTATCATGAGCCATCATAGACACTAAGTGAATAAAGGAACAAATGGCCTCTCCTGTCAAGCAATCAACATGGCAATTTAGGAAAGAAACTGTATTTGTTTAATAAAAATATTGATTGAAAGATGACCTGGCTGGTGTGGCTCAGTGGATTGAGTGCCAGCCTGTGAACTGAAGGGTTGCCAATTCGATTCCCAGTCAAAGCATATGCCTGGGATACGGGCCAGGTCCCCAGGAGGGGGCACATGAGAGGCAACCACACACTGATGTTTCTCTCCCTCTTTCTTCCTCCCCACCCCTCTCTAAAGATAACTAAATAAAACCTTAAAAAAAAAAAAAGAGAAAAAAGTGACTGGTATTACAACGCTTTCTGTAAATCTTTAGTGCTTTTTAGATATTAAAACTGTAAACTAACTTCACATGTATCCTGTCTCCATCAAAATATTTCTGAAAAAGCAGATTTTGTTTCCCACAAATGTTTTGACCAATGTTCTTTCCCCCCACAGCTTTATGTATGACTATTCCACTAATTATGGACAAGCTCCTCTGCCGCTTTTAGTCAGTTATGCCAAGAGCTACCTCTCTATGGTAGGGTCTTGCTGTACCTCATCAAGTCCCACTGTATGCTTTCTGAAAGAGGTAGGTATCACTTATTAAATAGTTACTTTTTTCTTTTATTAAAGCTATTCCTTTTTTAAAATGGTAGAAGCTCAGATTCTGAAATCAATAAAAGTTTCGAACATACCTTTTTTGCATTTTGTTAATTGGCAAAAGAAACATGCCACCACCTCTGGGAAAGAAAGAACAATGTTTAACTGTTTAATGAGATTCTCCTTTGTTTTCTAGAGACTCCAGCTTAAACATTTATCAGTTCTCACCATTATGTCAAATAGAATCTGTTCACAATATGCTGCTTACGGGAAAGAGAAGTCGAGGATCAGGTAAGGATTAAGCAACCCCAGTATGTATAGCTGCTTGATTCTGCCCTGCCTATCCACAATATCAGGATTCTCTAAGAAAGTGCTTGTGTTAGAATATATAGACTCGAGAGTTATGCCCAATAATCCTCAAAAGTACAACCCAGTTTTTCTCTACACAGAATGTAAACAATAGGAAATAAGGCTATGTTGTAAAACATGACATTTGTTCTTAACCTTTTCCATATATTCATATGGGAAAACAGAGAGCACTAGAAATTATTTCCTCAAAATTCATATCAGCACATATTACAAACACAAAAGCAAGAAAAATATTTTTTAATTACCTGCAATTTGCTTTGCCCATTTTTGTCTTCAAATCAGACTTTTTTGATTTTTGTTACATGAAGCTTTGTGCTATATAATACATATCTCTTAAGTTTTGTGAATTTACATGAAATACTTAGCTACTTTATTTATAACTTTCACTTTTATTTTTATATGGCTACTGTTAACTCCATGTTTTAATTCTGACATTTTCTACGTCTATAGTTCTCTCTTTATCTCCTCAGACACCTAGATTTGACAGCTTTAGCTTATCTTTTCCGCATTAACATTCTCTTTAATTCCTTCTAACTCTGATCCACAAACTTTTTTCATTTAATGGAAATAAAAATTTATTTTGTGTTGGCACCAGATCCTAAGCTTCCCTTAAAGGAATAGAAACTACTTTCATTAGTCCTTCAAAAATAGTTTTCCATTAGAACTATTCAAGTACTAAATGGCATTTTCTCACTTTAGTTTTCCTTTTGCATTAAGATAGTGTAGTTGGCAAGTAGAGCTTAGGAATTTATAATATAAAACCACCTATAAGATATATCTCTCATAATCATTAATTTATACTTTCATTAGTGTCTAGAAAATTACCTAAAAGAAGTATCATTGAATGTGAACAAAGATTTAGCTACAAATACTGGTATCTTTTTTTTTAAATATGAAAAAATAAAGATTTTCTAAATGTCCCTAGAATAGAGTGCACACTTAAATCAGTTATGGTGTATCCATCTGAGAGGAGGCCAAACAGTTTGTTATAATTATATTGTAAAGAAATATTAATGAAAACTATAAAACCTTACTAAAAGAAATTAAAGATATAAAAAATAGAAATACATTCTATGCTTATGGATTAGAAGAGCTAACATTGCTAAAAATGTTCATACTATCCAAAGTAACCTACAGAGTCAATGCAATTCCTATTAATATACCAATGGCATTTTTATTTGCAGAAATAGAAAGAAAAGGTCATCCTAGATTTGAATAGAAGCTCAAGGGACTCCATATATCCAAAACAACCTTGAAAAAGTAGAACAAAGTTGGAGGCCTCATACATTTTAAAACATACTACAAAGAAACAATAATCAGGATGCAGTTGTAATAGTATAAAAAGATATATAGACCAATGGAACAGAATTGAGAACTCAGAAACAAACCCTTATGTATTTGCATAAATGATTTTTGACAAGAGAGCCAAGACTACACATAAAAAAAAAAAAAAGGACAGTCTCTTCAACAAGTAGTTCTGGGAAAATTGGATGGTCACTTGCTAAAGAATGAAGTTGAACCCTTACCTTACACCATAGGTTAAAATTAAGTTGAAATGGATTAAAAATCTAAAGCTAAAACTATAAAACTCCTAAAAAAAAACCCACAGGGGAAACTTCAGGATGTTGGATTTGGCAATGATTTCTTGGAATTAATCCCAAAGCACAGGCAGCAAAAGCAAAAATAGACAAATAAGATTACATTGAACTTAAACTTGTGAGCATTAAAGGAAACAGAGTAAAAAGGCAACCTATGGAATGAGAGAAAATATTTGCAAATCATGTCTCTAGTAAGGGTTTAATAGCCAGCATGCATAAGGAACTGTTACAAATCAACAACAAAATACTGAATAAACTGATCACAAAAAAACAAAAACAAAAAAAGGACTAGGCAAACAACTAGAACAGGAACAGATTCACAGAAATAGAGATCACGTGGAGGGTTATCAGTGGGGAGGCAGAGGGGGGAGAGTGGGGTAAAGGTACAGGGAATAAGAAGCATAAGTGGTAGCTACAAAATAGACAGTGGGATGTTAAGAATAGTATGGGAAATGGAGAAGCCAGAGAACTTACATGTATGACCCATGGACCCGAACTAAGGGAGGGAATGCTGATGGGAGGGTGTGTGCAGGGCAGAGGGGAATAAAGGGGAGGAAAAATGGGACAACTGTAATAGCATAATCAATAAAATATATTTTAAAAAGAATTGAATAGACGATTCTCCAAAAGAGACAGAAAAATGGCCAACTAGCACATGAAATGGTTCTTGACAGCTCAACAACAGTTTCCCATCATAGGGGAAACATGAGTCAAAACCACAATGCCACTACTGAATGGGATTGCCCATTAGGATTGCCACTACCGAAAAAAGAAAATAACAAGTGTCAGGGAGAATGCGAAGAAATTGGAGTCCTTGTGCCCTGTTGGTAAAAATGCAAAATGGTATAGTCAGTATGAAAAACAATGCTGTTTCCTCAAAAAATTAACAGAATTCCTCTGTGATTCAGCAATCCCATTTCTGCATACAGGGTGAGGCAAAAGTGGGTTTACAGTTGTTCATATGGAAAAATAATACAATAATAATAATACAAGAATAAACTCTGTTTCACGTACTCATGACTGTAAAAAACCTACTTTCCCCCACTCTATATATATTTCTGAGAATGCAAAGCAGGATCTCAAGATATTTGCACATCCATGTTCCTTGCAGCATTATTCACAATTGCCAAGAGGCAAGAGTAACCCAATGTACATTGACAGGTGAATGAATAAAGAATGTGGCATATACCTTAAAAAATCCTATCACATGCTACAACATGGATAAAATGTAGGACATCATGTAAAACAAAATGAGCAGTCACAAAAGAGCAAATACTGTGTGATGCTAGTCACATGGAGTATATTAAGTAGTGAAAATCATGAAAACAGAAAGTAAAAATGTGGTTGTCAAGGGAGGGGGGCTGCAGTCAGTGTTTAACAGGCAGAGAGTTCTGGTTTTACAAGACAAAAAACTCCTAGAGATCTGTTACAACAATACGGATTTACTTAATATTACTGAACTACACACAAAAATGGTCAAGATGGTAAATGTCGCATTACATGTTTATCACCACAATAAAGAATATTTAGTGATATACAGCATAGTATTTTTAGGACTATAAGATGCACGGGACCATAAGACTCACCTAGGTTTTAGAGGAGGAAAATTGGGAAAATAAATTTTGAAGCAAAAAATTTGGTAAAATATTTAATAGCATAAATAACATAGGCCACCCCCCCCCCACAGTAAGCTACATTCAGACTAGAAGACACACCCCTATTTTCCTCCCAAATTTGGGGGGAAGTGCATCTTATAGTTTGAAAAATATGTAAGTGAAAAGATAAACTCTTCAATAGTATAACATAATTCCTTGTAAAATACTTAATATCCTAGATACCTTGTAAAATACTTAAAGGTTTCACACCAAAACATCAACATCTATGAACTCTGTGGTTTAAGGGTAGATGTCTTCATTCCTCACTTTATTTATACTGTAGTTTGTAAGCAAATTTATAAAAACATTTAAGAAAACTGTGAGGGACCCCAAAAACACCACATTGGCCTTATGAATAGAGAGATGTTAGTGCTTTCTTTACTGCCATTTTAGATTTAACATTTTAAAACCACCCTTCAACTATGTCGATATGGCCAAAAGACAAGCTGCATAAAAGTATTGAAAATTTGAAAAGCTTCGGCAGGGAAGGCTGCATGTTGAGCGGTAGCTCCAGCATGGAGGACCCTTTGCATAGCAGATGTGTTCATGCAGCTGCTGAAGACAGAGTTGAAATGATGGCATTATTTCTCCAGTGTTTGTTTTCATAATGAAACCGGGGAAACTGAAACTTGGAGTAAGCTAACAAGTTCTTTTTTAACTGTTTAGCCACCTCATAAAATTAGCCCAAAAAGCACCAACTGCTGACCTGGAGGATGTTTTGTCACTAGCTGAAGATGTTACCACAATCCTCTCCAAGTGCTGTGAGTCTACCTCTGAGGACTGCATGGCCAAGGAGGTAAGAGAATCCCCATTGTCATCGTCTGCCCTGCACTCAGTGGCAAGAATACACTCTTCTGAGCTACCTTTCACATGAATCATCAGAACGATCCTCACATGTATCCTATGAAACTAAATACACTAATTCCATTTTGCGCAGGAGGGAACAGATTAGCAAGGATCAATAATTAAAGTCACACAACTAGTACGTATCAAAGTCCAAACACAAAAAGCTTTCTGATTCCCAAGAACTTAGTGTAACTGCAGAGCCCTGCACAGTATCCACTAGCCATATATGGTTATTTAAGTTAATTATAATTAAACTTAAATAAAAGTTAAACTTCAGTTCTTCAGTCACACTAGCCCCAGTTCAAATGCTCACAAGTATTAGGCAGTACAGATACAGATAACTTTCATCATCACATATTAAAGTTCTGTTAGACAATATTGCAACAATTATACTATTAGAAGTTATGGTTTTTCTTGTATTGAATACCTGCCATAATTTGATCATTCAGTTTTTTTCACCATTTTTCACTTACCCAATACTTTCAAGTAGATGTGAACTTGAACAATTACTTTTGACAGATGCCACTCTCCAAATCTGTGGGCCTCTACAGTAACAGTGACATTGTGCTGCCAGGTCTTTTTCCGCTAAGAATGCATGTCTGTGTTAATAGGTGTTTTTCTATAATCTGACTTATAATGGCTAGTAGGTCTTGGTGTCTGCCTGTCTGTCTGTCTGTCTCTCTCCCCACCCTCCAGCTCCAGATAGATAGACAGGTAGACAGATAGACAGACAGACAAAATGTACTATGTCAATCTTCTAGGTATACCTTATTTTATTTAACCAGAACTCTATTATTGGGTTTCAGTGTTTCACCTTTTGCATTTTAATGCTGTCTTTTATAGGCTTATAGCTAATTCATGAGGATACATTCTTGGAAGTCAAATTGTACATGCTCAGGATTTCAGTACATATTGACAAATGACTCTCTGTGGTGGGGGGGGGGGTGCTCTGCCCACAGGGCCTCCCCAGCTGCCACAGATGAGAATAAGTCTACCAAGATATAATCTGCTTGGGGAGGAAAGGTGGCCGATCTCTCAAAGGAGAAGGGCCAAGAGCCTTTTCCTCAATGGATTTTTATTAGGTTCATTTTACACAGGAATACAAATAAAGCTCATTAATCATTGTTAGGCAGTAAGGATCAAACAATAGATAACATATGAAGAACTACGAGAGTTTATTCTGAGTCAAGGTCTGCTAGCTAAAGGGCTACAAAACTTTGGGGAACAAACTCACTTCCTGCTTGGACTTTCATCATTTAACTGAGAGCATTCTAAACAAAGCAGGTTTCACAGGACTTTACATATTCTTTCTTAGGTCTGATTGCCCTAGGGAACCTGCCCTTTCCAGCACAGGACACCCACCACCAGCATTGTTTCAGGCTTAAGATATTGTTTCAGGCTTAAGTCAGGCAGGGGAAGTAAGGCAGCCAGGGGATTAGGAGACTTCTTGCAGACAGAATGAGGACTCAGGCTATGTAAAAGCTGACGGGTGAGGGTCCATCACCCCTTTTTGCTATAGCCCCCCAAGTCCTTTCCTGGGGCCTCCCCTGTGATCGTGCCTGTCTTAGATCATTCCCCCCTTGGGTAATCTTACCAGACATTGGCTAACCGATCAAGCATTGGAGGCCAGGCAGGGTGAAGAAAAAGGAGCAGAAGCGGCACCCCCTTCCAGGGAGATAAGCTTTGTCTCCTTAGTGGCTTATGGTCCGAAGGTCACTCACTCAGCCTTAGCCATGAGGGGGTTACAGCTTCTGAAACCAGGCAGGGAGGTTCCCAACAGCCCTCCACAAATATTCTGATTTACTTTCTAAAAGTATTCCCACTGACCTATATATACGTGTCACACATACCATGCCAGGGCTGGTAAGCCTATATAAACCTATTTTCCTATTTTTAGTTGAACTTCTCAGAAAACTAACAATGCATAAACCACAATTACTTTTGTAGCTACCTGAACACACAGTAAAAATCTGTGACAACTTATCCACGAAGAATACTAAGTTTGAGGACTGTTGTCAAGAAAAAACTCCTATGGACATTTTTATGTGTGCTTACTTCACACCAGCCACCCAACCACCAGAGCTGCCAGAAGTTGAGTTGCCCACCAGTCAAGATGTGTGTGGCAAAGGCAACACCAAAGCCGTGGACAAGTAAGTGGAGCTGATCTGTATTATTCTGGACAGTGTTGATATTCATGAGCATTAAATGACAAATAAACTAGATGGGGGAGAAATAGTAAACCTGTACCTGGCTTCACTAAGAAAAGAGTTATGATAAATGCATGATGAGTTGCATCCATTATGAATACTATATGCATATTCACGGCATAAAGTTATTTCACACGTAGGTTGAATTAACAGGTCAGAAAATCATTTATCAGTATCAGAGAGCAGAATTTGGACTGCACTGAAACTCTATTTGTCTAGACACTCTGTTTTTATAAATGCATAGATAGAAATGGGCTAAGGAAACAATTTACACAAATCTATTTTCACAGAAAAGCCAATTAAAGTACCTACTTGATGCTTTATATAGAATAAATTGTGCCCTGGCTGGTGTAGCTCAGTGGATTGAGCATGGGCTGCGAACCAAAGTGTCACAGGTTCGATTCCCAGTCAGGGTATATGCGTGGGTTGCAGGCCATGACCCCCAGCAACCACACATTGATGTTTCTCTCTCTCTTTCTCCCTCCCTTCCCTCTCTAAAAATAAATAAATAAAATCTTAAAAAAAAATAAAGTCAACGTGCTGTCTTAAAAAAAAAAAGAAGAAATTGTGCTATAGTTATACAAAGGACAGTTCCATATGCATTTGAAGTAGATATGTATGCATGTATTATATAGTGTGTGACTATATATATACACACATATATATATGAGGGAGGACCCCTCAAAATGCCTTGTAGCACAGGCTTCCCTTGCTAGGTGAGTGTTCTAGGAACCCATGTATATCAATACCAGCTGGTGTTGTTGTGAGAAGCTGCACTTGGCTATACTGAATTTTTTTGAAGACTCTTGCAACACTTTTGCCCATTTCATTATGGTTAATTTATGAGCACACCTACCCACATTCACATTGTGCTGAGTGTTCATCAGTTTTTGACCAAAAATGGCAAGACCCCCTTGCCCCAACCTCCCTATCCACCCAATCTCACACTGAGTGATTCCCCCCGGATCCACCGATGAAAAATGTCCTCAAAGGGAAACATTTTGCTGATGTGGAAGAGATGAAATACAAAATGGCAGAAGTGTTAAAGGCATAAAAAAAAATGAGTTCAAAAACTGTTGTTTTTTTTTTAAATATTTTATTTATTTATTTTTAGAGAGGGAAGGGAGGGCGATAGAGAGAGAGAGAGAAACATCGATGTGCGGTTGCTGGGGTTTATGGCCTGCAACCCAGGAATGTACCCTGGCTGGGAATCGAACCTGGGACACTTTGGTTCCCAGCCCGCGCTCAATCCACTGAGCTACGCCAGCCAGGGCTAAAAACTGTTTTTTGAGTAGTGGAAAAAACTCTCAACTGGTCTATCACTTCAAATGGAGAGCACTTTGAAGGTGACTCAAGTTTAAAAATGTAAGACTAAACATGCAATTTTTTATGAATAAATTCTAAATTTTGTCATCCCCCTCATACAGTACATTCAGAGATTTAGTTCAGTATTAATTACTGAACTAAGATATTAACTACTGAACTATTATTTTGTTCAGTAATAACTTCAAAGCAACTATTAATACCTTACATATCAGTGAGATTATTTTTTTAATTCTAAATCTGTTGATTTGGATTCAGTTTTAGCTAAATCTTTTATTTTTAATTAAAGATGCAGAAACCAGGTGCCCTGCCTTTGTTATGGATATAAAATTTCAAAATGTGACACGGACCCACAAAGATACTCCTGGATGTTGAAGTGTATCTCTCTTTCTCTCTCATGCCAGGTACACATTTGAACTAGCTAGGAGGACTCATGTTCCAGAAGTATTTCTCAGTAAAGCACTTGAGCCAACCCTGAAAAGCCTTCAAGAATGCTGTGACTCCCAAGGCTCTACTGCCTGTTTTAATGCTAAGGTACAATTTGCTTGATTTCTTCATCAGCCTTGGTCTAGATGAAGGGTTGATGAATTGGAGCTTATGCGCCACATCTGGAGTGGTGCTTGTTTTCATATGGCCTTACATTTTTAAATGGCTTTTAACAAAAATATTAGCATTTCATAACATTAAAATTATATGAAATTCAAATATCAGTGTTCATACATAAACCATGCTCACTGTTTATGCATTATTTGTGGCTGCTTTTGTGCCAAAATGTCAGAGTTGAGTAGTTACAACAGAAACTATGTATGGTCTACAAACACTAAAATATTTACTATCTGGCCTTTTACAGAAAATATTTGCCATTGTCTGGTATAGATTAAACACTCATACTAACATGCTACACAGAATTTATTGAATGCCTGCCAAAGTAGTGTTAAGATAAATATTTTTTATATAATTATTATTTTCTTACAGACCCCTCAACTGAAGAAGGAACTATCTTCTCTCATTGACAAGGGACAAGAACTATGTGCAGGTTATTCAGAAAACACACTTACCGAATACAAGAAAAAGTAAGGGAATTTTTCTAGCTATGTCCTCCAAACTGATCAATATTAGCCTAGAATTGTGATCTGAAAGCATAGTTGAAGATTTAAGATGTGCTAAGTGAGCAACAACAATAGGAGGTTTAATTAAGAGAGGTTTTTAAAAAGTAGTTAACATCTATTATCTGTGTAAGAAACAGTTTTCTGGTGGAAAAAAAAGAGTCACATATATCAGGTGAGAGGTCAATTCAAACACAGCCAAAAATATATAAATTACAAGATCTGTAGGGACTTGATTAAAAAAAACATTAGTCTATGGTTTATCAAAATTTTTGCCCAAAAGCAATCTGTAGGTGTTGCTGTATACTATAATTAAGAAACTATAAAACGGCTGGAAAATGTTATCTAACTTAAGATCATATTGTCTGACAAGAGGACCCAAATTTTCAGTTAAGTGTAATATCATTTATCACCAGTATGTATAATACAAATGTGAGTTGATCATCCATAATGTGGTATAATAGTCATTTTTCTCAGTTAAGAGAAGCCATTTCTTTACCAATAGATATTAACATTAAAATAAGGAGCCATAATAGTGAAAGTAGTTTTATTGGTTTCCTGGAAAATTTCTGTGTTGAGAAGATCATGACCTTCTCAACTTCATTAAGTAGATTTCTTAGCTTTATTTCAAATCATCTTGAACAACGCAGGCCTCCAGCACAAATAAAACTCCTCAAAAAGACCTTTCTAAAGAATCCCCAAAGTTGGACACCTCCTCCAATGACCACTATGAAATCAACCTTAGCAAAACTGTGAAAGATGATGAAGAAAGAAAAAGATGAAGAAAAAGGAAAAAAAATGAGAAAGAAGAAAAGAAAAAGTAAAGCAAAAGCCTTAGATTCAAAATTGTTTAACAGTTATCAGAAAGTTATGTGATTAACAGAATAGTATGAAGGTAATATACCATAATATTAAACAGATAGTACAAGATTAAGTTCTCTTCCAACAGTTTGGAACTCCAGGACTGCATGGAGCAATTGCATCTACTCCAGATGCACTGTCGTAGAATTGACATTTACAGTTATGAAATTAGGGAAGACTGAGGCAATCCAGTCTAGGTATTTGAAATCCCACCTCCCTTCTTTCTTCTCCCATCCTCTGAGTTCCTTCTAGTCTCACTTGCTTCTCCTTCCCACTGGAACCAATTCACTTCAATAATGCTTTTAGAAGCAAGCTAGTCCCCCTGACTCTCTTTATCCCTTCCCAGCATCCACTTGCCAAACCCAACTCTACATAAAGTTGGGTCTCTTCCACCTCTCAGTGCCTACTACTGGGCTGGTAAGTATTCTTGGAGAAAGTCATAAAACCAGGCTGGGTTGTTTACCATGAGGATAGAGAGTTATCAAGATCATACACAGTTCAAACTGGAAACAAATCAAGAGAATTCAAATTCTAGCACCACCTTCACAGTGAGATGGAGAGCTGGTTAATAGTAGAGCGAAAAGCAAGAGCTGAAGGTCCCTGTCTTGTTTCAGCCTTTTCCAGCCTAGTTGAGTAGGCAAATTGAGGGGGAAAGTGTACAAGTGACACAAATTTCTGTAAGGGAAATTTCCTTTAAGAAGCTTGAAATTTAGAACCAGACAGGAGATGAAAGGTTAAGAAAAACAGAGGGGGAAGTTATCCAAGATGATATAATTGAGTGAATGAAAGGGGAAAGGCTGGAATTCAAATTCAGCAGCAGTTTGTATGTTTCCTTTCATGATCTTAAAAGACATGTAGATTTCACTGTCTATTCTCAAATTGAGTCACTAAAAACAGTTCCCCAGATATACATTTAAGAGGGGCAAGTATTTCTATTTTCACTTTTTGTTGTAAGAGATCTGAAATAGCTCTCTTTTGCATTAGAATACAATAGAATACATTGAGTAAAACCTTACCCAAAAAATGGTCTTTCAGACTGGCAGAGCGGTTGAAAGTGCAGTTGCATGATGCCACAGCCACAGAACTCAAAGAGCTGGTTGACCAGCGCTCAGACTTTGCCTCCAAGTGCTGTTCCATAAACTCGCCTCCCCTCTACTGTGATTCTGCGGTAAGATTTGATAATCCACTCATCACCGCAGAGTATTTGTAAAGATTTATGTACTGTGATTCACTCGTTTCTTTTTGTTATTGAAATACTGTTATGCCTTTTCCTGGTGCTGTGATAACTTTGTTGTCTTTACAATGAAAGTGAGAAAAAAAATGACTGCTTTTATGTTATGTTAATTTAAAAGGAAAATGAAGTAGTTGCAAAGCTTAGGAAATTTTACAGTTTTAAGTAAAAGTGAATACAGGCAGCAAAGTATAGTGTAGTGTTTTTCAAGTTGTAGGTTGTACCTATTAACAGCTTTTCTTAATGAAAGAGAAAAAAATAGAAATATTAATCCATCTAACAGTATGGTTAACTACTTCATGAAGATTTTATTTCATATACTTGTATATGCATATGCATATAATTATTATATAGATTGACAAAGTAGAGATACTTTTTTAAAAAAATAGATTATACCATACCTTCTCTTAATTATAAAAATCAATTTTGTTTTAACGTAACACAAGAAAAAGAAATGCCACTTAATTACTGATGATCACACATTTCTTTACCATAGCAGTTATTTTCTAAAAATTAAAAAATATATTAATTTAAAAATGTTGGAGACATTTTTAATTACAAGATTTTCTTCTAGACACTATGAATTGGTTTCCAATACTGAAAGAAATTTGAGCTCATATTTTCCAATTTCCTTCCCCACTCCTTCTAATTTGTTATTTCTCAGGCTCATCTTTCTTTAAATATGATCCCCCCACCCAGCCCCTAGATGCCTCCCATCCTCTCCTGCCTCCCTCCTCTCCTACCCCCTTCTCTGCATTCCCCTTTTTCCCTTAAATGTAATTGCATAGTTACCAGATCATTTTTTTTTACCTTGTTAAATTCCAGCCAGATCTTTTATTTTCTGATAGTAGATAAATTAATATATGCCTTTCACTGCATTTACTACTTATTAGTTCTCTCCTCTAAAACTAACGTGAGGCTGGTACTGGTGTTCTACCTTTGTGTGGACTGAAGGTGGGAGGAAGGAGGGCCCAGGCTAGGCTGTGCGGTTGTGTTGTCAGTAGGCCTGATCTGCGCTTTCTCTAACATCTTGTTGGTATCTTACAAAAGGTCCTTCTCCACCAAGTCAATTTCCACCCTTTTACATGGGCAGGTGTTTGTTAGTCTTTTTCATGCACATTCGGCTCCTTTGTTCACATCATCCATTTGACCTGTAACTCTTTAGCAGTCAATTCAATTGTTTATTAGAATCAAAGGTTAGGGCAACACTTTATTTCACTATTACTACTAACTTGGAAATATTAGTCACAATTCCAAGAATTCTGTTGTCTCACCCATTCCATTTCTGCAGTGTACATGCAGGGTTAAGACCAACTATATGCCTTATCAAAATGTTTTCTTCCTTTGCCTACCTCTCTCTGAAGTTCATGATATTAAGTTGCGTCATTCCCCTACTCTGGTGGTGGCTGAGATTTTCTCCAAGGTGTTTATGTTTATCCCATAAAAATAAAATCAGCAGAATTTTCTGAGGGTCTAATTTAGTTATTGAAAAAAGGGGAAACATCTAAATATGTTCAAATACATCACCTGTACATTCTGTCAAATATATCACCGTTGCATAGGGACTGAGGGACTCCCTCAGTCCCTGTTATCTCTGTCTAAATACACTCTTTCCTGGCCCTGGCCGGGTAGCTCAGTTGGTTAGAACACCATCCTGATCTTCTAGTGCCAGGGTTGTAGGCTGTTCCCCACCCCGCTCAGGGCACATACACAAATCAACCAATGGATACATAAACGAGTAGGACAACAAACTGATCTCTTTCTCTCTCCCCCGCCTTTCTTCCTTCTCTAAATATCAACAACAACAACAAAATAGTAAATACACACTTTCCTTTTTTGACATTACACAAGACAAACAGCTTTAAGCACAAAATGCAAGCTTTCTCCCTTCAAATGTCTTGCTTTTCATTTTTTGAGTTGCTTTTCAGTGTATATTTCATTTTAACACATTGCCATTTAAAAACTACTTTCAACTACAATGATAAGGGGAGTTTGTAACTTTGTTTTCTTGCTTTATAACCAGTAAATTTATAGCAGTGGTGCTGCCAAGTAGCCAATCTGTCAGTAATTGCTAAAGGAGAGTGAGATGAATGGTGTTGTTAAGACTAGACCTTATCGGGTTTCTATTAACCTTTCTGATTTTCTTTCCCCATTGGTCTCATAGCTAGGTAAGCGAGATCACCTCTGCTTTGACTTCATGTTCTGGCAAAATCTGATAGAACAGCAGTCACTTTAAAATTCTCAATGCTTAGTATGAATATTTGTCCCACTTGTCCTTTGACATTTGGATTAAAATTTGTCATTAAATCTGCTTGTCTGACATTTGCTTGACAATTATTTTCCTTAAAATAAGGCCCACTCCCTCCAAGTCATTTCTGTCCTGGGATCCACCTCCACTTGCCATCCTATATATACTTGGCACAGTTGCTCAAAGAGTGGCAGAAGGGCCTTTTGAACTATATTTCTGTTGCTTATGAAATAACCTAGCCTTACTCTCACCTTGACCTTGAAATGATCAGAAAATAAAACAATCACTGTAATTTTCTTTTGGCTTCACCAACGCACTCTTTATTATGCCATTGGGGTCCATTGGCCGCAGAAAAACATACTGTTGCAAAATTAGACTTGAAATTTTTCTCTCTCCACAATTATTCAGACAGGGCATCCCTAGGCACTCTTCTGTTATCTCATTACTATGCTTCCACTAAGATGTCTCAACAGAGTGCTAATGGGCATCAACTAGGATTTTACGAAGTATTCAGAGAGCCACTGTTTCATGCTGGAGTTGATCGCTAATATCTTGAAAACAGAAACAAATGGGAACAGTCAAGTGGACATGGGCAAAGAGGAAGCTGACTGTCTTCTCCTCTGTTATCCCCTCCCCACCTCCCCATTTTTCTTTCTCTCCTGTATTTTATACAGAGCTGGCCTATCCACTAGACTTTCCCTCTCAGTTTAGCAAGAGTTTGTGACACTCAATGTCATAACTAGCATTTATTAAGTCAATACTATTTGTTAAGCAGAATATTAATGGCCTTGTTAAGCAGAATAGCCTTATATGTATGTGTTTATAGAATGATCAAAAACAGTTCTAAATATTAGGTACCAACTTAATTTGCCTTTTACAGATGGGTTGAAGGAGACATACAAGTTTACATGATGTTAGGAAAATCTTAAGTTTATTCCACATGAGTCTGTTACTCTCCATGTCACTGTCAGACTTCAGCCCTAATTTAGCTAATAACAAAAGCAAAGTACTGATATCAAAAGACTATTACCTATTGTACAAAGTCCAAAATTATTGTTAAAATAGCAAAAGTGACACCAGGTCAGTAGTGTTACTGAATTCCATTATCATATTCCACCTTACATTCTTCTGTGATTCTGTGCTTTCTCATTCTGTGTCATATTACTCTCTTCTACCCACACCTTAAATTTCCATTTCCCAGAGACTGTTTTCATGGTTTTCTTCACTTTATATGACATTACCTCTTCCCCAAGTGTTCTCATCCATGGACATGCCTTTAACCTCCAAATCTCTACCTCCAGTCAGGATCCCTCCCGCTCTGTACCAAGCTTTTTATTCAGATGATTAAGGACTCTATTGTCCCAGAAGAAATTTAAAGTTAATGTGGCCCAAATATTCCCCTAAAAACCTCCCCTACCATTCATTATCTAAGATTAGAAAAAAGTGATCCTTAATTTCTTCTCCTTTTCTATACACATCCAAACATATTCCAAACCCTATCAATTCTAGCATTTCAAAATCTCTCAATAACCCCACAGACATTTTCTACATTATTAATACTTAAATTTAGTCAATCTTTTTATCCAATTACTACCTCCCAACTGCTGTCTCATCTCCAGTCACCCACAATGCCTCACACCCAATCCCATCTCTATACTGATGTCAAAATAACATTTGTAAAACACAAAATGGCTAATGCGTTCCTCTAATTGCTGTACGTTGCTTCTAAATAGAAGTCTATTTTTTTTAATCAAGACAGTTTGGACCATTGTTTTCCTCTCCAGCCTGATCTATCCCTGTTTTTATTTAATGTGTTTTTTTTATTGTTGTTTAAGTACAATTCTCTCCATTTTCCCCACCACTCCCCTTCCACTGCTTACTCTTCCTACTTTGGTTCTCCTGCACTCCTTGCAGTTTTCCTAAGTACTTTAAACCTGCTCTTACCTCAAGGCATTTGCCCGTGAGGACTCCTCCTGGATTACACCATATTCATTCTGTAACCTGGTTATCTGTCCTCAAGATTCTGAATTCAGTTCAGATATCACTCCAGAACCCTTCTCTGGCACTCAAGCCCCCTAACGCTCTGTGCACACCCAGTAATTAGCACTATTTTTTTTCTTGTCTATTTTTCATAGGATATTCTAAACTGTCCAAGGGCAGGGACTTGTAAAACTAAGTAAATATGAAGGCTGGCCAATAAAAGTTCAATGTAAAACTGCATTTTAACAAGAGTCCTTTTCTCTAATCAAGGTGTAAATTGTTTACCTTCATAACCTAATAGTCTACAAATAAAATATTTCATGAATAATTAGATAACTTTTTTTTAAATTTCAGATTGATGCTGAAATGAAAAATACCCTGGAGTCTTGATGTGTATGAACTACCTTAAGTAAGTATTGTCTTTAAAGGCAGCAAGAAAGCCCAGCTTTGTGTAATGTATTTTTAAAATCACAGAATGGGAAAGGCCCTTTCAAATTATTTATTCTAAGTATTAGCCATTCAAACTTACTTTACAGATGAGAGTATTAAGCATCTAGAAAAGTTAAGGAGCTTACACAAGTATACACAACCAACTTCTGGCACATTTAGGACTAGAATCTGGGTCCCCGGTCTGGGACAATATTGATCATAACCTCACAGCTAAGATAATGACAGCATGGAAATCATTTCAGGGGTTTTGATGCATTTGATAAAAAAATGAGTTCAAGACAGAGTTCATCAAGTCTTAAAGATAACACAGTAGTGTTCTTAGGAGAAAAGAGGCAGTCTTAAAGCAATACTGTTGAAATATTATCACTTGCTTCTTTCAGATATTACATGTGACAAAATTGCATACCTTAAACTGAAGATGACCTCAACTTTGTATATTTCAACACAAAAATTTTCTCCCTAGATTTAATTGTATTCATTTTAATATTACTTCTGAGATTTAAAAATTTATAAAAATAATGGCTTCTGTTTATCTTAGATCTTAATTGAGTTGAAGATTTTCAATGATGTGAAATTTTCATTTTTCTGATTTACTGACAACTTCCCGCAAAATGATACAGATACAAAAGCTATTGACAAGTGAAATTAAACCATTCCATCATATTCAGGTTTTCAACTCTCAACTATGCAAATTATTTGAAACAGTAAAAAACAAAAAAAAACAAAAAACACTGAGAGGAAGTACAATGGGGCTAGTCAAGGAAACTTATTTTTGGAATTAGCCAATCTGGATTAGAATCCCCATTCTAACTATCTATCTTTGTGAACCTGAATGAGTAATCTCAATTCACTAAAGCTTAAGGGAGCGGGGGGAGAAAATTATAATATCTACCTGTCAGTATTGTTGTGATGACTGAGAAGATGTGTAGAAAATGTGTAGAAAATGATAGCAGTAATACTAGCAAGTAGTTCTCCCTGCTACTGTACTGCTTCTGTGATTTTTCTCTTACTGTAACAGGTTAGCTGTCCAATGGCAGAAGCAGCCCAAGCTGTTTAGTGTGAAGCAGTTACTAAAACTATTTGGAGGAATGGGGGGGAGGGGGTGTGGGTACTTAAGCCCAGGTGTCTATTTGACAAAGATACGTAATAGGTTCTTTTAAAAAATTAAGTTACATGAAATTTTCTGGACACAAAATGTATCCGGACCACTTGTCTTGCAAAGACAAGAAGCTAAAAAATACAATCCACATGTGGAATGAAGCTTAGTCATTGCACTCTGCAACTGTAAGCTTTCCCTCCGCATCCTGCTCTCAGGAGAGAATTTTGGCTTGGGTAACGACTATGGCCTCACACAATTCTAAGAGGAAACCCTCTCCTTAGTTCCTAGAGCTACTAAACCAACTTAGGTATTTCTTTGCAATGAAAGCATACTCCTCTTCAGAGATTTGAACAGCTTACAAAAGCTGAAGCCTTTGTCCCAGGCATTCCCATTCATAGGTACACCTATAATTCATGTCTTCCTGTCAACAGTTTCATTCTTAAGTCTTATTATAAACCTGAGTTGTCATCCTCACAGTTACTGGATTGCCCTTTGGTCAATTTTTCTTCAAGTTCCAGAATTGATTGTGGCTACATTTGCATGTCCATTGGAGAGACAATTACTGTCTCTTAATAAGTCCCACAAAGCCAGTTATCTTTTTATTTCCTTCAGTTTTGGAAGCAATTAGTATTTCCTGGGTTGCCAAGGATAGAGAAGTTTGGCTCACACTGCAGAGTCAGGTTGAAAAAAATACCTAGAATACCAGAATCACACTCAGCACCACCAGTTGCTTACGCTGAGAGAGGACCCACACGTCAAGGCCCAAACTCAAGAGAACAATGAAAGACGGAATTTCTTTCACTGTGCAAATAGAGTTTTGATTCAATTCTGCTGTACTGTCTTAGAAAAAGGAAAAATCAAGGGGAAGACACATTTGCCTCATTACAAAGGAGGTGATTTGACAACAACTCCCATGCTATTTCACTAAAACACTACTACTGAACTAAACTAGTGTCTCAATCCCCTGACTGGAAGTGGGGGTGGGAGGCTCATGTGACACGGTTGCTGTTTGTTTCCTCCCCCACTCTGGCAGTGAATATTCACTGTCGTAAAGCAGTAAGTCACACATATTATTGAAGAAAAAGGTGTATAATGTGCCTAAGTGATGTCTAAATGTGGGAATCTCCTACATTTATTTACTCTGACTCATTAGGTGGCCACAGTGGATATATGGGTCACGCCAGACAGGTTCATCTTTAAACATAAAAATAACCTGACTGTCAAGCAGTATTATGATTGCTGCCCAACAGCTCTGTTTTTCTAACCTCTATTTCCATGATTCTCATAGACCTAAAGCTGGAACCATCCTGGAAACGACGCTTCAGGCCTAACCCAGCAGAGCCACGCTCCTGGGGGCACAACTAGGTACTCCCTGTTTTTATCAGCTACAGTACCTTTGTACAATGATAAGTACAATGACTTGCTATCAAAATAAATGGGAATAGAATGCAAACCATAAATGCCTGAGGATGACGTTATGATGCTGACCTTCAGCCCTGGGCCTGTGATTTTCACAAAGACACTGCAGGAGGCAGCCTCAGCCTCTCAAGCCCCTGCTTATTTCTAGAGCCCTGCTGTGTCTCTGCATCAGCACTGGAAGTTGATCCACAGCTTTTAGCATCCACTTTACAATCCCCAACACGCTAAGCTCCATTCCTTGATTGCCTCTCAGGTTTAGGCACTATTAAGGAAATGTTAGCCAGCCTTCTACCATAAATAGCCTAAGATAGCTTACTTCTAAAAAATTCCTGAGAATTTCTTGCTCCCAGCTGCAAACTATATGGCATTAATTAGGTAGTATCTTTCTTGCAAAAAAAAAAAAAATTGGTCCCAACAAGTTTATTTTTGCTAAAGACTCTTTAAGAGCAGTCTATTGAGTCAAAGTTCTAAAAACATCTTAATTTCCACTTGATTTAATTAGCCATGTATAGGTGTATAATACACACTATAAATGATATTCTACGTGCTTTCTTTGCCCCGAGAAAATGAAGATGGTCTGACTTAACATATTTTGCTTTGAAAGAAAGCTCATTATTTTAAAAAAAATACCTCTCCAAAACAAATACAAGCCAAGAAAAACCTATATTTATAGTTAATTGCCTCAAGGAATTTGAGTTCATCTAATGGTCTTTGTAGAGGTATCTGGATAGATAAAACATTCTCTGTAGCAAATATAACTGGAGTCACATTAACCAAATCACCCTGGTCACTCCTCAACATTTTAAGTCCCAGTAGGGAGCATTTCATTAACTAAACCAAGGTCAAGCACCCAAGACTTTAGCTGCCAGGAACTGAGAAATAAAATGCGTGTCCCCAGCAGCTTCTGCAGAAGATACAGACCCACCTCCCACAAAGTTCAAAATGGGAAATTAACTCCAAAAAGGGAAGTACATCAATGCCACGAAGTAACAAAAGCAACAAACTATATTTAGGCAGCATTTTACATTTTTTAAAATTATTTTTTACTTCCAAAATTATCTTGCTGAAGCTTCAACATGACCTTGAAGACCTAAGTATCACTGACAAAATGTGAGGAGAATGAGACTCCATAAAAGCAAATCAAAGTAAAAGCATCAGTAAAGAAACACACAGAGACTTAGGTTTCATTTCCAACCTCTAAGCAAGATTAATGGAAATTGAAGAATGTGTTTCCTAATCAATTCAGTTTTGGAAACAAACATAGTAGTCTGTGTTTTTCCATAACACAAAAGACATTTTTCATTTTCACCACTAACTTTATTGATCTGGATATTTTGAGTATGTCTGCTATCTCCCACTATTGGCTTCTAGTGGGTAGAGGCCAAGAGTGCTGCTAAATATCTTGCAATCCGTAAGACGGCTACACAGCAAAGAATGATTTTGCCAATATGTCAATAGTACCAAGAAACTCTGCAAACCACTTCTGACAATTCGATCAGTCACAGCACCTTCCGTATACACCGCACATATCTTTTTTGTGTGTGCGTTTCAGTTGCATTTTTACCTTTCCTGAAATAATAAAGCATAATACACTAAAAATGTTTCATATTTTCTTCCATCTTCAATATTAAAATGACTACACAAAAATTCACCAATTTTGATGTTTTATTTTTAATTGCATGCTGATACAACAGCTGTCACAATACAATCTACTAAAATTGTTTCAAATGAAGTCAAAGACAACTAAGCATTGCTAGAGCCATTGTACAGAAGAAAACATAATGAACTTTTTGACCAACCCAATATATCTCCCTTGAAGAGTCACAATTTACTCTATACAATTTACTCTTTCCTATATTTAACCACAACCCCTTTCCTTTGGATATCACCCAGAATTATTGCTCTGAGAAATTATTTTTGGGAAATTCTGCTGCTCTTACTTAAGAAATTACATTTACAAATTATTCAATTACTACTAAAAACGAGTCCATTTTAGTCAAGTATTTTTATGCCTGAGCAGGTAGAACTGGGTGATTTTTTGTCACCAAGTATTCAATAAATATTACGTAATTTGTTGAAGGGGTATTATGATTCCCCTGGATATATTTTACAGGGAACTCTGAACACCTTTTACCAGTTTTTTGTATTAAGAATCACTGACCCAAATACTCCATCATTTTCATGAGAAGTTTTAACTTTAGACTTTATATGCATAATTATGTCTTCATTTGTTTCATTTCAAAGGAAGCTGAGACCTTTTGCGGAGACATTGCTCAAATCTAGGCTTACTTCCTAAGTGTTTCCCAACAGTAAAGAAATGTTTCTGAATTGCCTTCTCTTCTCAAGCACAGCCGATTTGACTGGGTAATGTTGGTTGTATAAGTAGCCGTCATATTTTATACTTTATATATCACCTTCTTTCAAACACCTGGGTCCTCACTATGATAAAAACAAACAATGCTTTACTTTGTTTCTAAGAATGGCATTTACACTGTATCCATCAGGGTTCTCTAAGGAAATAAAAATAATGGGAGACAGAGAGATGGATAAAGTTAAGGAATCGGCTTACCGAGTTGTGGAGCTGGCAAGTCTGAAGTCAGCAAGGAGGCCAACAGTGTGGAAACCCACGCAGGGTTTCTATGTTATAGTCTTGAAGTAGGATTCTTTTCAAACCCTCAGCTTCTGCTTTTAAGGCCTTCCTGTGATTGGATGAGGCCCACACACAGCATCAAAAGTAACTGTTACTTAAAGGCATCTGGTAATAGATGTTAATCACATCTACAAAACACCTTTAAAGCAACATCTAGACTGATGCTTGGCTAAACCAATGGGCACTGTAGCCTAGCCAAGCTGACATGTAAAATCTAAGCATCACAGAAACCGTCTGTTATTTTTGTTGTCTGTTACAAGGTTTAAAGTCCTTCGGGTTGCAGTACTGACACTCTGTGTTTTTCTGAATTCCTAAGTCACACTGCAGGTGATTCTTAAACAACCACCTGTGAACTACTCCCCTCAATGGTCTGCACAGAATTAGTGGATTCATTAACGCTTCCCCTGGAAATTCTTGAAAAGCAAAATTCCTGGGTATGGAGATTTTAATTTAAAAACATAACAAGGGAAAAGCATTTCTGTTTTGTCATTTAATTCAACAACAATATGCTCTAATAAGAAAGAATTTAATTAACTTGAGAGTTTACCCAGTTTGGAGATAAATAAGTAAAAATAAACAAGAAGGCTTAAAAAGTTGTCTTTTTACGCCCCTTTGTCTACCTCTCCCCGCCACATAAGTCTCACCCCCACCCAACTTCTACACCTGTGATCCTCAACCCTAACTGCAGGTTGGAATCCTCTAGAAGAATTTTGAAGGGAAACCACGCAAAACCGAGCAGTGCCCAGAGCCCCTCTCAGAGGCTCGGAGTTGACCAGTCTTCATTGCAAACTGCTGCACAACGAAGCCCGTGGCTCACTGCTTCAGAAGCATGGCCCCCTCGCCCAAATTAAAAAAGAAAAGCATCTGAGATCAGCCAGTAAAGCACCTAGTGGCTAAGCGACTGATTATATCACCCGAGGGTAAATTTCTAACACGACTTGATCTCAGTCTGCTGTTGCCTTATGAAAATTGTGCCAATCATAGAATGAAATTTTTGGCTCCTATTAAAGAAAACCCCATAGATAATAACTCAAAAGATGGCCTTTCCCAGAGGCTAATTCATCCTTCCCATTTCTTCCAGGCCCTGAAATATTCTTTTCTTCATTAAGCCAAGAGGGTACCTACCTCATTGTTCCTTCCATCTCACCCACTAGCGGGAGGTCCCTACTTTCATGAACTTAAGCTTTTTGGCAAGTTCTGCTTTGCAGTTAATGATAGTACCTACTTACCCATCCCCAGGTGAGGGGTTTGGGATTCCTAGATTGTGTTTACCCCAGTAAGAAGTTTTCTAAAAATGAACTAGGTGTCTGTGTCCTCACTCTTCACTGCGCATGGATCAGAAGCAGGGATCTTTGCATCAGCTGTGTGCTGCATCACGAAAAGCCTCAGGAAGCCATGCTTGTTTCCAGTAAAAGTCTTTGCCTCCACCTTGTGGACAGCAGGTCTCAATGCAGGTGACTGTGCAGAAATCTATCTGAAACCACATCTTAATAAAATTGACACTACATAATCACTGCCCAGAACACGCTTCCTTTGAACTCTATTTAGAACAACATGAAAAGCTTGAAGCCCAGTTAACAAGATATAGAATTTTCCATTTTTGTTCTCAGGGATTTTAATAACTGGGTCATTCTGGCAACTTTGAACACAAAGACAAAATGATTCATGCAAATTGTTCATTTAGTTCCTAAGAATGTTAATAAATGTGAAAAAACATCCAACCCATTTTACCTTTAAAAAGATAACATTAGGGATGTAGTACAGATACATTCTCCATATTAAACTCCTGCTAAGCTTAGGAAAGAAAAATGTAAAAAAAAAAAAGAAAGAAAGAAAGAAAGAAAAGAAAAGATAAAAGTAAAATACACTATTACTTTCCAAAGGATTTTCCTACATCATCTCCTCTAATCTTCGTCACAATCACACGAGGCAGATCACTCAGGTCCTAACTCCCCTAGTTCACAGATAATGTGGGTCAGGTGAGGTAACAGCAAACTAACAGCAAAGACTGATCTAACAATAACAAACACATTTATTTACTGCTTAGCAGCTCTAAGCTAAAGCAGCTTAAAACAAATTTGCTGCTGAATGGGTTTCTCACGCAGCTGCTGTCAGGCACGGCTGGGGCCAAGACCGTCTTGAAAGCTTCTTCATTCACATAAGCTCGCCTGGCCTCAGAGGAGTCACTCCGCAGGGGCCTGATACCTGGGCCTCCCTGGGCGTCCCTCTCCGGATGACCTAGGCAGGTGGCCTCCACACAGCAGCCTCGGCGCAGCTACACGTTTCACATGGTGGCTGAAGACTTTCAGACGGTTTTTTAAGATATCCAGAAGTCCTCCCTCCTCAAAGCCAGCCACACTTTTCCTTTCCGTGGTTTCAGTTACCTG